TATTAAATTAGTTTATTAGTTCAGTTCAATAGTTTCTAACACTCTCTAATTAAGTAACTAGTCTCAACAAAAAAATTATAATGTGTGTGTGTGAAATGCTTCGTGTATAGTAAATCGTGCATATAAGATATAAATCTTGTTATTTAAAAGTATGTTTAAAGTAAAAAAAATATGTAGAATTTCTGTCCTTTGTGGTTTGCATTTTTTAATGCGTTTTTTTTTAAGTTTCAGATGATTAATGTTACTCTGAAACATTTCCTTACAAAAATTAGAAAATCTACAAGCTGAGCTACGAACTAACGTTATGAGAATGTTATTTTTTATTTCTTTCGAAAGGTGGATCTCATTAAGCAAAGTTTGTATACTGCCTGTTTGTGTACTGCAGACGAACGAAAATATGAAAATTATACAAAGTAGCAGGTTCTAAAATGAAAAGCAATTTTTAAATTAAAATGCGAACCAAAATAATATTTAACAAATTACCTGAAAATAAATTTAAATTTATATAAATTTATTTGTCTAGTCAAGAACGAAGCAATATTTGTAAAGCATGATAATACATAGGTACGCATTTTAAATATTTTATACGACTTATGAAAATATAGTTTAGGTTATCACACTCCGATTTTGATTCAAGTGAGGTTTAAAATAACAAAATTAGTTGCAAAAATAAAGGTCAAACAGAGAAAAATATAAATTCAGGCTATATGTATATTTACAAGAATTCGTAATTTGAAAACAATTTTTCTCGTTCTTAATTATTTCTTAAACAAACATTTCTAAATGTTCGTTTTAGAGCAAAACTTTTTAAAATACCATTGAATTTGTGTCAAATTAAATTAAATAAATTTTGATTATCCGTTGAAGTTTAAATTACACATGGTCAATTATTTACAAGTATTATTTTACACCACTTACTATGCGAATAATTTCTATATCAAGTATAAAATTGAAAAATTTACTAATTTACAAATCGGTGCCTAGAGACACCGTTGGTAAAGATTCTTTAGGTTTTTATATTTTTATGCTCACCAAGAGAAAGATTAAAAAAGTTTTTTAATAAAATACTCTTAATTTCAAATTATCCTACAATTTCTGACTTAAATTGTGATCTTTTCCAAATACTAGACATACTGAAAATAATGATGCATGTTCGAATACATTCTAATACTTGTTCTCTTAACATTTTTCCAAAATATAAAAATTATAACATTTGAAATTATTAATATATACTACACTTGATATTTTTTTTTTATTAAATCCATTTATTCACATATACATATTTTTGACACGACTGTTAAGTTCGTACAATACTTACAACAAATAAATAACTTGAACTTTTTTTAACTTTTACTAATTATTTCACTTCTATTCTTTTAAAAAGACTAAATAACGATTGATTAACATTCCTTAAAATTAAATATATATTTAAAATAACAATAACAAACTCCACTAACTGAATACTTTACCAATAAATATTTTTTTCTTGAGTCGAAGTTTGCGAAAATAAGATATAATTTTATTGATTTAAATATAAATTTATATAATTATATTATAAAAGAAAATGAATGTCTATCCAAAATTATCTTTTCTTCATTCAGTTTCTATTTGGATTCACAAGGGTGTAGATATCTAGGTTCCAATCGGTATTAGGCGGGAAAAAACAGCATTTTCCGATATCATTCTACATTCCCTGTCCTCAGTCACGTATCAACCAATCCCGACACGTGACTTGCCTGAGAATGTGAGTAAAGTAAATATCTATCAACAGACACGCTAGGCAAACTATGTAAATTATTGTCAGCAAAGCTTTTAGAATGGCAACTGATTTTTTTTTGGCTTTTGAGTTTGATAATAGGAAAGAGCAAATTTCTTTTTTGTTAAAAAGTTCATTCATGTTTGCGTTTACTACATAATCTAAAATTTTCTTGTACTGATTAGGCTTTAGTTCCATAATTGCCTAAAACGGAAGTCTTTCAAGAACACTTTAATGTCCGTGTGTCTAAAAAATGTCATCTTTCAATTTATTTGGACACCTTCTAACACTCAACACTTTACTCAAAATCATGAAATTTAATTATATTTAGGTACATCGGATTTTACTAATAAATAAAAAATGCAAAATTGTACTTATATAATACTACAATAACTTATTGTATTCAATAAAATAGCCTAACTTATGTCTATGTATGGTGATAAAAGTTTTCCATCGGAAAAGCTAATTTGTCCCTTAATACAGTTTATCTTTTCTTTTGTGGAACATTTATTACTTTAATACTTTAATAATATATTAGAAGAATAACTTCAATTAAATGGTCTCTGCTTAATCTTTTTATCATTATGGAAGAATTGCACGCTCAGCCAGTTCATTTTATACACCTAACGTTGTTTTAGTTATATTTACTATGTTTTTTTTTCATTATACCTATTATTTTTTTTCAAAAAGAAATTATTTTAAAATTTTGGAAAATTTATTTATTAACAAACCAAATAAATGTATTTTTGTTTTGTTTTATGTTAAATTTTTTATATTATTTTATAATCAATTTATATGGGATAATTTAGTAATCTTACCTTAACTAGGGACGAATTAATTAAATAAACTTATTTTCATTACTTTATTTCAAAACTTTTTAGTTTTATTATGAGATTACTGCATTTTACTGGGCTTATTAGTGTCTCCATCTCTGTATGACATCGTGTAGCTGTTATAAAGGAAAGACTCATTGTTGGAGAGAAGCGTTCTTTACTGTGTGCGTAGTAAATTTATTCGAAGTTCTTTATGAAATCCATATAGATGTCGCTTTTTACAAAATAATTTGACCTTCGATTGACAAATATATTATTGTTAATTGATTTTCAAAACATCTGATACATACATTATTAGATATATAGATAAAGTCTTCCAATTTTTTTCGAATCATAAATAAGTATCTTGAATTTTATTTCATCAAAATCTATTACAACCACCAAACTATGTAGAAGTTTGAAATACTCGCAATTACTCTTTATGAAACAAAATTAAGCAACAAACTTTTCTAGGTAATAACGTTTTCTTGACATAATTGAAATTGTCTGCTTAAAGGCTTTTTCACTTTTGAATAATTAAAAGATGACAATTTTTAAATATTTTTATTTGCTTAAAATTTGTATGTTTCATCTTTTATATCAAAGAAACCTGAGGAAACTATTGAGTTTTCACTAATTCTTTTACTAGGACCATTTTAAAAAAGATTTTTAATATTTAACTACTATGTCGTGAAAAAGTTAGTATTAAATCTCTTAATAAGCTTCGTAACTTCCTTAAAAGAAAATATATTTACTCATTTATATTTCGCCATTCAGACTGTTCGTAAAAGCCATATTCGCTTAAAAGTTTCCTAGTGGTCAACTTCCCTAGCGAGGACTTCACGACAACTTTTGAAGATTAGTCCCTACAAAGAAACTTAGCAACTCTACTTCAATAATATTAAATTAAATATACGTGTATGTACTGGTACTATTAATATCTTGGACAGGTTTCCTCATACGGGTCTTGTTATAAAGTTTTCTTACTAAGAACTCAATACAAAGACGAAGAACTTTGTTTTGTTGTAGAACAACAAGTCTTTGTTTTAACATTTTATAGTGCTCAAACTTATTTATTATGATATTTAATACCATCGCAAGTGCAAATTTTATACTACACTATATATTTCAAGAAAAATAAGATCAATTTAGAGACTCATGAACACTGATGTTGTTATAAAATCTGATAAACAAAGTTATCCTTAACTTTTTATTCTTCACTATTTGGTTTACTCTATAATCTTATATACAGTTTAACAGTTAACAATTTCAATAGTTTAAATAAAACTTATATCACGTGTTATTTAATGATTTAAGACTACTTACTCCCGACGTTTCGGTTACTTTGCAGTAATCGCGATAAAGGGCAGACGAGAAAAGAGTGATTCTTAGTAGACGAGGTGAGAAAAATAACCAAATATATTAAGTTTATTCAAATGAATATTCTCGAAAGTCTTAGATCTCATTAAATTAAATAATTTTCTTTTGAATTTCAAATCGCGTAGAAAACTACTATAATAAAATAATTTAGGAACTTTAATCGAAATTCATGTTTAAATATTTTTTTATTTTCTTTCTGTTATTTTAAATTATCGAAAAATGAGCACTCTTTTAATAATATTGTGATGACTTATTTATGTATTCTTACACAAATTGTATAAAATAAGCGTCCGGACACCTGAAATATTCTTGGATATATCCTAAATTTCAAATAAATCTCAAAAAATAAACCAGTATTTATTTATTAACATTTTTATTTAAAATAAAATTAGTGAAATTATAAAAACCATGTTTTTTCCAGTTAGAACCTCTAAACTTAAAAAGTGGTTTCAACTACCATTTATACAGTTACCTAAACAGATGAAAACTATTAAGACTTTTTATGTTTTTAAGTAAAGAAAGCGCGAAATAAAATGAATGAAATATCAATATCAATATTAGTAAATATACAGTACATATAATTTTGAAGTACTTAAGAACCATGTTTCTTATATATTTTTTTTCATGTGTCTATTAAAATTATTTTAATGACTATACAGGATATGTTTACTAAATTTTTCTTATAAGGATTTGACTGCATTTTTATTATAAAAGTAAAAGAGGTAAGAAATAAAGAAATATATTTTCTCTATTACAATAACTTTTATTTTACTTTTTATTACTATACTATACTTATAATATTACAATTACTTATTCAATCAAACTGCATTTACATAACTATCACATTACATCGAATAACTTTAACCGGATTTTAAGTCAATTAACATTTGTAACTACATACATCGAAATACTCGTAGACATGTGTTCAAGAGCTTATATCAAACATCTTCAGAATAACATCACTGTAAACACTGCAAATAAAAATGACTAGATCACTAACACTAACAAGTCTCTTCAATGATTCGTTTATTGACCGTAAGGGTGTTTATGGGCTATAATAAACTCATATTTTGACCGTTCGATGATTTTGCTGACGACCTGAGAGAACGGATTGTGGTTAGCCTTACAGAGGAAGTATGATCCCCACGACGTAAGAGGGATGCTTGCGGTCCCCCTGATTCTCTGAAATAATATATGTAAATAAATCCAACTTTGTCTCCAACCGACTAATCCAACTCGTTATCTTCCTTTTCCCCTTAGCTACGAAATATAGTTTAGTTGCTAGGCAAAGGGATTTGATCTAATTTCTATGAAACCAGAAAGGTTTTTTTGTGTGTAGATTTCCGCAAATCCTTGTGCTATTATTTTAACTCTATCCTTATATAGCCATACTTTCTATATATAAAGCATCTTTTGAATTTTGCTATATGAACTAAAATATATCACGCTACGTTAAATTGGAGGGAGACAATAGATATTACTTGTTGAAATATTATACGGAAGAAGAAACAATTAATAATTTCATCAAATATTACTAATGTGTGAATTTAACAATCTTAATTAAATTTCCAGCTAAATTATTTGATGACTACAACAACACAAGTTAGTCGAAAACGTGACTTTAGCAAGAAACATTAAAATAATTTACCATAAAAATTTAGTAAAAAAAAAATATTTTTTTCAAGATGTCGTCAATAATCGTTAAACTAAAAAAGTCTTTGGCACTACCAATATAATATTATTAACTGTCAAAAACCTTTATGTCTTAATAGGTTTATGATTACCTTTAAAACCTTGAAATATTTTATAATACATAGATTTGAGTCTGACATTGTTCATGAACTCGAAATAAAATGTAATGCTAAACAATAGCTTCTATGCTACAGTATTTGGAGTAAAAATAAAAATATAATTAATATTTATATTATAAATATTTCCAATATTTATCATCGCAGCTGAATAAACAAAATAAATTACGTATAAATGATATCATCATAATCAACTTCGCAGCAGGTGTATTTAAGAGATACTGTTCTCAAAATTGTTTCAATCTTACAAAATCGTGATGTTTTTGCGAATTTCTGCATATTATTCAATAATAATTGGTATTGAAAAAATGTAACTTTTTTATATAGCAAGAACTATTTAAAAAGTCTTAGTATTATTCCTTTTATACGTTTAATTAATTTATGATAATATTTTACTTATTTAGACTTAGGAGTATTATAAGATAGTTATTTGTTATTTTACATATACATTAGTAAATTCATTAAATAATAAGTGTTTGTGAAATAGGAATATGGTTCTGGAAATTAAGTGATTTATTATCAAATTTTATAATCTGATATAATGACTATTTACATAAGTTTTTATCCTTTTTCCATTCATTAACATTGAAATTTGTTGAAAATTATTTTGATATGATCAGTTTAAATAGTTTGAGCATCACATTTGCTGTAAATTATAAAATATGCGTAAAATAATACGTCAAGATAAGGTTTGATTATATAAAACAAAATGAACTGTTATTTATACTTATAAAGTAATGTAGTTTTTACTACCTGTCACTATTTCTAGGTCGTTTCTTTTTAGGCCACAAATGAAAAGCGCCGTATATCACTGGATTGACAAGACTATTAGACATGCCGAAAAAGAAAATTCCCGATAGAAGATCCTCACTCAGCTGAAAATAAAACACAATAATTAATCAAAAATCTAATGAAGTGAAACAAAAGAGAACGGAAGCTTGTTCACTTTCGCTTCAATAAAACTTTTAATTACAATTCTTTTTAAAAATTGATTCTGTATTAAGTGTTCTAGGATGAAAAATTATTAATATCTAATTTTTTATATGATGTGGTCAATATAATCGAAAATTAATGTCAATGTTGATGCGGTTGCGTCAAATGAACACAAAAACTGAAACGACACAGAAAGTTTGTTCTTGAGTGATTTTTTTTTGTTTTGGTATTCAATTAGTAGTTCGCCAAAATTTCCAGACAGTAATAATTTTCTCAGTTTTATAATACATATTTGTACTTTGTATTTTATTTTTTTTAGAAAAAATGTTATAACAATATCTAAAATATTTATTGGTTGTTTATTGTATACGCTTGTAAAAAAAGATAAATTTTGAAATAACTTACATTTTTATCGGGATTAAGGAATGTAAATATGACCATCATAACGTAGTATGGTGTCCACCAAATTATAAAAGCCGTGACGATAACAACAGACATTCTTAAAGATTTCATTTTCGCCCGGTCTATAAGGCGACGGCGATTCATATCTGGGGTTAGATACTTTTCTTGTTTCACTTCTGGCTGAAACACCTTTTCACTCTCTAAGATATTGAAATATATTTTAGTTTGAAAACATTTACAACTAATATTAAATTTTGTGGTTCTGTTAATAACACAATTTGTAAAGACATTAATTTCACTCTTATTAATGTTAAACTTAGTTTAAGGCTTCGTAATGATTCTGTTTTTATTAGTATTGGTTATAAAATATGTTAAAAGATAATTATTAAAACAAATGCTTTTTAATTTATTGTTTTTTAACTAGTGTAGAAAGAAAAGGAACTATCGGAAAGGTTCATTCACACAAAAACTCCCTGACATTGGATTTTGCCTTCCTTGATTAAGAATAAGGAATGAAAAAAGACTATGTTTCATCAATTTGCATAACAAGAAAGTCAATTGTGAGCCTGTTTTAAGGTTTTTTTTTTTAGGATGCGACATTGTAAAGTATGTTTGAGGAAAATTAAGAGTAATTTTCCTTTTGAAGTATAAATTATATACATGTCTAAAAACAATTAGGCTGAACGTTGATAAATAAAATAAATTCGAAAACGTAATTACTTAAATTTCTCTTCTACAAACTTACATGTTACAAAGTTAATTAAAATATATATGGATGTAAATATATCGTTATTTATCAAACGAACAATGAAGTAATATGGAAGATTTTTATTGCATAAAAATAGTAACTATCAGGCTTCTTAAAAGAGTAAACAAAAAAAAGACTTCCAACTTACTCGCTATAGTTCGAACAGTTGAAACATATGTTGCTGTTAAGATGATAAGCGGAAGAATAAACATGAATACCAGAGAAAGTGTGGTATATGTTTGCTCCTGCCATCTCTCCGTGTAAAAGCCATGGGTGACACATTGGTAAAAATCTTCCAGAAATGGTCCTTTTGCCACACGAAAAACCACCACCTGTAAATAGATTTAAAACAAAAAATTACTATTAAGTTTGAACTAAAGGTTAAGAATATTATTTCATTTAAAGAAATAAATAAACCATAAGGCTAACAATAAAAATTTAACCATAATGTAATAACTTGAACGTACTAAAATATGAACAAATACTATTTAAGTATTTACTAATAAATATGAAAAGCAGTTGAACAAACATGGAGAAATAATTATTTACAAAAAATGTTCTATAGTTTTCATGTGTGTTTATTTTGTGACACACACCTAAAAATTCTATTGAATAACTAAAGTTGTCATATTATTTTGTATGTGTACTACAAGTTTATAAACAATGCTTCTAAAAAAAATTAATACTTAGTTTTAATAAAAGAAAAAAATACAATTTTCAACTGTTTACCTGAGGTATACTTAAAACGAAACTGAGTATCCATGCAATTATAACCAATCTTACGCTCCGTGAGGCTGTTGCCATACTCTTCATAGGATATTTAACTGCTAGCCATCTGTCTACCCCGATCAGTACGAGGATAAATGTGCTCAAGTACAAAGAAAACATTTGTAAGAACTTGAATATTTTACACATGGCATTTCCAGCTAACCATTGAACTGTGAAAGACCAAGCAGCTTCTCCTGCTATGCAAAATATGGTCACCAATAAATCTGCTATGCTAAGTTGGAATATTAGGCTGTATATCGCTGTCCATGACGGTCTTGTACGTCGTCGACCTCGTTTTCCTCTCTGAACACTTATCATAGTTGCAAAATTACCAATGAAAGATAAAATTGCTATAACCGAAAGTATACTCGCTCTTATCACGGTGCTTTTAGTTAAAATAGGGGCGTGTTCTAAACATGTTATTCCGGTTCCATTATAAGTATAAACATGATCTATGTCACTTCCTAAGGTATCATTTATTACATGTTCTTCTAAACATTTCTCTATGGCCCACGTATTAATCATTATATCTCTGGATTCTCTTTGAAGTTTGATTTCACTCGTATAAAGTATTTCATCATATAATGCGATATTGTTGCTTACACCCCCCATGTTTTCTCGAGCGTCGTTGATATGGAACGTTTTGTGATCTAAAAGCAAAAATTAATGACAAAAAATGTTAAAATTTCGTAATATAGATTTTGTGTTATATAAATTTTTATTTTGATATTAAAATGTACAATTAAAAGCCATGTTAAAATTTATTTAACAAATACTAAAAAAAGAAAATTCCCAGTTTTTATATAAAAATGAACAATTGATGTTATGTAATGGTCACATGAGAGATAAAAATGTTTCATATTTATAGTTTATGTGCTTAATTTTATTTAGGCATGACCTTCTTTACATCTTTAAAATAGATAGAAAATATTCTTGAAAAATGGAATGTGTTATTTTGTCTGTACATACGAATCTCAAATATATACATATCTCCAAATTGATTAGAACGAGTAAGTTATGGTTTTGTATTTACGTTATAGCTCACTTACGCAGCATGACCTTATGGATGATCGATATTCCTTTCTAGAATTTTTCAATCTTTAAGACGACTTTTTAACAATAGGATATCAATATATATAAATGTTGCAAACTCGTATAAACTGTTAACCAAAGTCAGATAAAATTGCTGAAATTGTTAAACGTAACCAAGTTATGTAAATGGGCTACATCATGTTCGCGTAACTAATGACGTACTTTGCAATAACACTAATGTGTTTGTGTCATTAAATCTTTATTAATTCCTTCATAACAAGCTCACTCACATATATATTATGAAATAAATATTTCCGATAATGTATTCTGCTTTACTGAGATATATTTTTAAAAATTTGTTGTATAGTATTTGATAACTACAATTACGGGTATTAAACCACCCATACTACCTAAATTTTAAACAATTTTTAGGTTAAATGTTTTATTCCCTCGTATGTTTACGTAGATCTTGATATAATCTCTTCGATCAGTTCATACAGTATTTGAATTTATTTCAGCAAATAGTATCGTTCAACGAATACATGATATAGTACAAATATTCCCAATAACCAAAAATATATAATTCAATAGGATAACTTTTATTCACAGTTCTCATAAAAAATCAGTTTGCTCTCGTACATTTTATTTTTAGATTACTATATACTTTTAGATTATTATAAACTTCAATGCAAACTGTGCACAACATCACTTTTACAATAAAAAATATGGTATGAAAACTGAAAGATTACTATAAGTAATGAGGATCAGTTATACTAAATACATTAATTCATGTGCATTTTTAAATATACAGAAAAAACTTTGTTGGCATACGAAGTTATAAGAAAATAAAAAATCTATTGTTATACAAAAGTGACACTATTCTAGGGCTTAGAAAACATGGAAGACGAGCTTTATTTAAATTTTAAATATATTCTTACAGTTATAATTACAACTCTTTGCGTATAAATTAAAATGTATTTAAATAACTTTGTGTGATTTGATTTATAACTTACTTTAATAATTAAATTAGAATTGAACAGCTTTCTGTGATACATAACTTTGTCTTTTATTTACGAATCTATTTTATTTCAGAATGTTAAGCAGTATTTCATTTAAATAAAATAAAATTATAAGTGTGTGAAAACATAAAAATTCGAATTTTCAATAACGATTATTTCAATGTAATTCATTCTTATTTATATGTTATAAATTAATAATTTGAAAATGGAAAGCCCTATACTACAGTGCCCACCAAAAATTAATGTTTGCTTTGATAATACAAAGCAGATTCCATTAATATAATTATTCAGATCTGGTTAATTCTCACATTTGTAGCAATCGACTATATTCAAATGGAGTGTTCGTTAAATTAATGGTTACTTTGTAGCTATCAAAATTGTTTATATAAAAGAAATATAAATTTCTTCAAAAAAATTATATTTTAATTGATATATGTACACGTTTTAATATACATATTTACAGATACTCTAATTAATTGAAACTTCAATAAATGAAATTTTAATGAATCGCTTATGATATTAAATCGTAAGACTTGAAAATATACACACATATAAATATATATGGAAATTTTGTGTAGCTTCAGCCTAACAATTAATATTTTAATTGATTATACGATTATAATCTCGAATACATGAGGGTGCCTTCAATCCTTATCGGAAGATATTTAAAATATATTTGGTATAGAATTTCTTTAATGTAAATTTTACATTGAAAAACTGTTTTAGTATATATTTTCAACTAGCTTTCCGCCCGCAGCTTCGCCGCGTGGAGTTCGGTTATATCGCGTTTCCAAGAGAACCTTTCAAAAGTCTGGGATAAAAACTATCCTATGTTCTTTCTCAAGGTCAACTCTATCTCTGTACCGAATTTCATTAAAATCAGTTCAGTGGTTTAGGCGTGAAAGCGTAGCAGACAGACAGACAGACAGACAGACAGAGTTACTTTCGCATTTATAATATTAGTAGGGATTAAATAACTATTCATATCAAGAACGTTTTTGTGATTTGTTTATATCTTCACTAGTATTATAGTGTCAAGTTTACAAATATATGTACTAGTATAAAAGTAAAACTAAATTTAAACATTAAGTGCTGTTTGTTTATGACGACTTTGAAATACTTATACTAACACATACTTCGTACTAACGTCCACAATGTTGTCACTAAACGATATCGACACGAAGGTAGTGAAAATAATTCTTTATTGGTTTTTCACATTTCTTGCAATAAATGCATAAACATTAAATATTTTAGTACTTACCAAACGACACTGATTAATGATAATATGACAATATTATGATTTTGCCAAGTCCTTGCCAAGCTTAATTCCTTAATGGAGATTCGTTGAGATGCACGGATGCCCTGATAAAGACCTCGTATTAGCCTCGTACTCAATTTTTCAGCACTTTATATAGATAAAGCTCTCAAGACAAACTTTTGTAAGGCATAACTGGGCTAAAACTTCTTGGGCTAAATCTGATGGGAAATAAGTCTTAGCAAAATTCATTAAGGCTCACTTATTTTCTCTCTAAAATTTATGTTATAGCAACAACAATCGAACATCGCGTCACCTTCCTGAGCCACGGTTTTTTTGTGAGAGAAGTTCACATTTTTAATAAATGACTATAAAAAACTGTCGATATGAACAAAACTAGTAGTTGAATGGTATTCCAGATATAGTGCTGAAAACAGCCGAGTCGCCTTCTGTTTTTATCGCTTATTTTTAAAGACTCGCATAGTGACTAAGTCTTGGAAGCTTGCAAGAGTAGTATTTGTACTTAAGAAGAAAACCGGTACAGACTCTGCTAATTTGTAATTAGATTACCTCCATTATCAGCTAAATAGAAGCCTTTGTAGTGCTGTAAATTTCACACTTCAGGCATTCTTCGAAAAGAACAATACCAATCTTGTGAAATCTAACGTCACAAAAATAATAATCGTGCCATTTTATCACTAAAAGGAATTATTCACTTTCATATCAAAATTTTCTGATCATATTCTTAAAATATTTCAACCATTTTAAGTTATTAAGTATTCGAGTATTCTCAAACTTCCTTTTCCTTTCAATAATGTAACAGTACCTACTCTTACAACTTAGGATTACATTTTCTGACTGTTATTCTACAAACGAACGAGTAGAATAACAGTCAGAAAATATAAAGTAATTGACAAAAATACTAGTATAGAACTATATCTATAAGGGATGACAGGTCAGCATCAAATAATCTTGCGATATCACGATCATTATATGGTGCTAGAAACTCACATCAGATGTGTATGTGCTTATTATAATTTACCAACGAAACATATAGAAGGGCACAGCATCTTAAGCAAATGATACCATGAGTTATTTATTTCTTAAAGCGCCCTGATAAAGTTGTCATATTTTTTTCGGTTTGTTGCAAAATATAAAAAGTTAAAGAATGTGCATGGTATGAATAATTTTACCAAACATTACCTAAATAATATTGGCAAGCTTACGTTCCAGATATCCGAATTGTGTTCAGTTTATGATTTTGTTTATGTACTTTAATATTTTGTTTATAGATCGAGTTAACGGAGTATTCCAAATAATCAGACGGTAATAAATCTCAATTTAATGTCGATAAGGTCAAAGTCAGATCGTTGATTAAATTAATCGTTTTGTGCTCCGAAGTTCTTACACATTCTAACATATTTACAATGACTGTTTAAGATATTGAGTCTCACTGAAAAGTATTATTTCAATTTAATTATCATTTCAAAACATATCTTTAAGACAAGCAATTAATGCTCTTAAATATAAATGATAAACTGAAGTTTGAGGTCTATTTTAAAGAATTTTTAAATTCAATTCGACTTAAATGAATGTTGATTTATCAAGATATATACAAATTTGGAAAATTTATTGCTTTTATAAATTTTTTGATGCCTCGTTAATATAAAAATATACTAAAAACTTCGTAAAGGTATTAATTTCGATAGATTTTTCAAACTTAACATTTTAAGTTATTATATAGTAAAAGTGAAAAGGATTTAAAAACATAAATAAAAAATTGAAAGATTACTTATAATTCTTTCAAAATTTGGTTCTTAGCATCCAAAAGGGGTGTACTAGTTCCAAGTATTAATCACCTCTAAGATGCCGTACCTTGTCTTATATTGTCGTTAAAAAAATCTTGGCAACAGGGAATGTTTAAATATGCCTTCCTCCAACAGTGGAACAGTAAAGCGACCTGTATGTAGTGAGACCTTGTATTCGCCAGTCAAGGCTCTGTTAATGTATATTTATATATAGCAGTGGTATATATGTTTGATATTTTAACAGGCCTTAGTACTTTAGACCATCTCTTATTTCTTGCGATGTTTGAGAGATAGGGACAGTAGTCTAGTTTTAGATTGTCCTGAAATGAATGGCTACAACTCAAACTTCTTTGAAATGTAGCCATCCATTACAGTTGCAAATATCTATGGAGATCAGATCAGACTTGAGGACACAGAGAGTGTATTTAATTATGCGCATGGATATGTTTTCTATCACATGCAGTTTAATGCACATACACATGCACAAAATTATTTATT